TGTTGTCCATATAAATTTAAAATATCTGAGTACCGGGAAATCTACTCTGTATCTCCTCTTTCTCTGTTTATACACCCACGTTCTTACACCCTTTTTCGTTCCTCTACATATTTCTAAAATATATCTTACAAGGAGGGTAGGTGAGATGGGAGTATGGGGTGTTGTTACAATAAACAAAAATTGATTTCTATTAATATCTAAAATAGACCTGCTTCTCTTTTATGGCCACTAAAAAGAAATCAAGCTGAGGGTATACGTAAAAGAAATGACTCACTCAGTGCAGGACACGTGTCCCCTTTTTCAACAACCAGCCTTTGAGACTCGGCTAAATCAACAAAGAGCCTGCCTGCACGTCATATCTACTGTATGTATATATATATACATATATCTATATATATAAGCTCACAAGTTACACCATGCAAGAGAGAAACCCCTAGAACCCCATATGCTACCAAGGACTATTGCTACAGACTAAGGGGATGGTCACTAATGCGAGTGGTGTGACTGTCTGATCTCCGTGGGTTCTTTCTTGCATGGACTATGGGTGGAAAGAAAAGAAAAGAAAAGAAAAGAAAAGAAAAAAAATTCATATGCTACTTATATATATTTATAAAAAAAGGGAGGAACATGTGACAGACATAGCATAATAACCTTCCTGTTCTCTACCAACTTATCTTATAATATGGCCTTATTTATTTATCATTCATTCATAAAAAAGAAAAAAAGAGAAAAAAAATCCAAGACATATTTGTAGAGAGAGAGAGAGAATAAAAACAAAAAAAACTGACACAGCTGCATCGTGAAATCTGCAAAAAGAGACACATCTTCAAACCGTACAGATCTGTAGAAGGGTCAAATGCCTTACCAAGCAAGGATGGACTCATTATCACTCATTAATAAACAAAGAGAATCTACAATACAAAATGAAATACAGTTAGCTAAGGGGTGGCCAGAAAAAAATAATAAAAAAGAGAAAGAAAGAAAGAAAGGAAAAATCTATCAAGTGTTAATATCTGCGCTGTGATATCTACACATCCACTTCATTTTCCTAACTTGGACAGGTACTGACAGCAAGACGATTATTTCTCTATGGGAACTAAGTTAACACACACCCTGAAGTTAAGTCTGCATGATTAACAATGAGAGAGAAAGATATACAATATTTACCATGCATAATACTATTGGAAGCTGCTTGACATATCTACTCTGTATACCTTGTCCATAGATTATGTTCAAGCCATGTTCAGAGGAACCAATCAGAACACAAAAAACAAAATGAAAAAAGAAAAGAAAAGAAAAAAACCTAATAACTGAATGAGACCCTGACTTCTGTGGTGCAAAGTTATGTAAAGAGGAAATCAAAGTAGTTGTCAATGCAGCATTGACTGGGACGTTGCACTTCCCACCGAGGACAGATATCTGCATGGACATTCAGCTACGCTCATGAACAGTGAATTATCTGCTCTGGCCAAAAAGACATACACATATGAAAAAAAGGAAGGAGAAATGATGATTGATCTTGATGTGAAACTAACAACGACCAATCTATTTATTTTTCTATATTCTTACTTACTAACAGCTAGTTTTTTTTCATTCATGAACAACACCTTAAAGAAATGGTCAAAATTCTGAAACAGTACTTGAGTTATTTCACCAACAAAATTAAAAAGTGAAAAATCTTTGTATGAGCAAAAAATTTATGCTACATTTAAGAATAAAATCTGTATTATCCGCCCACCAATAAAAAAAAGAGAGACTAATGACTAGTAGTTGAAAAATAAACAAATAAAAAAAACAGATCCTGTTGTCAATGAGTGTTTCACAATTTTGACCTTTGCTATTTGATCTAAAACTCTTGAAGCACTGGGCATCATTCCATCTGGTAAAAATATCTGCAAAATGCTGCCATAGGAACACAAGTGGACAAAATCTTTTACAATGGACTGTGGCTTCACTGTCATGGGACATTTGTGCTGTAATGAGTTTCTCTTTTCATTTCTTCTCTTTTCCGGAAGAGTGGAATGTGGAATGCTTGCAATAGGATATAATACCAGGTATAAATAACCTCTTAAAAATTCAGGTTCTTGATAATATCGACACTAACACTTCTCCATAGAGTATATCAACTTAAGAACACAGTGAATCGGAATTCAGTGAAAAAGAATATACAGATGATAAATACCACTTGGGAGTGGCAGGGGTGAGGAGGAGGAAAGAAACAGAGAATAAAAAAAAATAAAATAAAAAAAAAGTGAGAGAAAAAAACACACACACACAAAAAAAACCTGTACGTCACTTTCAACCTGACATTCCAGCGCAAGTCTACCATGACAGGCTTTTTAAAATCTTTGTATTTTTCCTTGAAGATTTGGTATAATAGCTACTTCAGTATAAGTATCGGTGCATCTGTGATTATCATAAATTTGTGGCTCTGTTTGACAGACGTGACTGAAGATTATCGTAATAGGAGTTAGTCTGATTCATCACTACTGCAGTGCATCCAATATACTGTACACTGTCCTGTTAGTAGTGAGGCAGATTGTGAAGAAAATAAATGCATCTGTAAGCATACTAGTGGGAAACTGTGTATGGTAAACATGTTTACACCAAAGTGTGCACACATTCATAAATGTGTGTGTGTGTGTGTGTGTGTGTGTGTGTGTGTGTGTGTGTGTGTGTGTGTGTGTGTGTGTGTGTGTGTGTGTGTGTGTGTGTGTGTGTGTGTGTGTGTGTGTGTGTGTGTGTGTGTACACATACATATGTATATATACACATGTATATGTATGTATATATATATATAATATATATATATATATATATATATATATATATATATATATATATATATATATATATATATAAGGCAAAGTAATGACTATATGTGGCAAGTTCAATATTCTTCAGTCAAGTCCTTTTAGGATGCAATTATAGTGATTGGCACATCAGTGGTTTTCATGATGGTAAAAAAATATGTCCTGTGAAAGAAATATTTCTGTCATTGGTGCAGACAGGCAATCCATATGATGAAATAAAAATGCTGGAAGAACCATTGCTGTTGGTACGGTATACAAACGTTTTATGTTTTTTTTTTTTTTAACCACAATAACTGTGCTGGCTTGCAACATCCGTCAAGCTATGTGAGGGCTTCCTTCCCCTCCCCAAAGAGATGAACAAACAACCATTGAAGGCCTCAACTAGTATACCTAGGATTCCAAGGGAACATGAAAAAGGCACAAATACAGCTCTGCAGACACACTACCTCCCTTCTTTGCAATGCATTTTGCAGACTCTCAGAGTGTATCTGTGCCTTGGGCAATACACAGAAGCAATCGTTTTCCTATATCTTATAGGAGTATATAACTCTCATGAAGTGTAGGTACATTCATATATATAAATACACTGCAAGTTCACCTTGTTCCTCTAATTGTTCAAAACAATAAAAAAGAGAGTATCTTTCATAAACATCATCTTGTAATTATTCTTTTAAAATGAAATTATCATAATTCTCTCAAAACAGATCTATACACTATGCTAGCAATGAAATAGTCAACTAATACTTTTATCAATATTACAATTCTTTCTTATCAAAAACTGCTGGAGAGATGAAAGGAAAATATCTTAATGTACATGCAAAATGGATGAGATCAGCCATTATAATCAGTGTTTTCAAAATAACTTTAAAAAATTAAAAAATATCCAGTTAAAGGGAGCTACCAAGCAATAACTTAGTACTCTAGACACAAGTACTATATTGTATGAAATGGACTTCATTTTTTGTGTGTGTGTGTGTGTGTGTGTGGTGTCTGTTAGTTTTTGCATTGGGATAAGAGTACTAATGGCATGTACGCAAACATGCACATATATCTACAGAGAGACACATGTAAAATTAGAAGTGTGATTCTGATACTGTGTATGAATATTTATAGTGTCTGCATAAATACATGTGAATGTATATATGCATTTTTGAATGTGGTATGTGTTAAAAGGAAAGAAAAGAATCATATACTATAAATATGCACAAAGTGTAGACATACCTAACTGTCTGAGTACATGTAAGCATTCAAAGATAAAGAATTACTACACACACACGCATTCCCTGTCTCTGTACGTCTGTCTATCTCACACAGACTCACACACGCACATACACACACACGCCCACACACACGTAAACACACATACACCCACACAAAATCTCTGTCTAAACAGACTTTCAGTACCATTAATGTTGACAGTTTTACTGCATAGAGCAAGTCAAAATACTTATTCGTTTGACATCATTGAAGACAGCACATACCAAAAGCACATATGAATGTTATCATTACTGATATGCAAGGTGCAAGCATTCCCTACAACAACATACATAGTCTTGGTTGTATCTTTCTTTGACTTTTCAAAATGTCTGAGTAGTTGTGATCATTCAACCTGTATAAGGACATGACCAAAGTTCACCACTCAAGTAATTGTGACATTTCCTATTATTCAATTATTCAACAGTACTGATTTGTGCATTATATACGTACAATCTTTGAGGTTTCTTAGAACTGTTTTAAAGCTACCTTGGTGATGCTCAAGAGAGAGGAAAGTGTGTGGTGTACTCTACTGAAAAGAAAGATACACTTCATTCACACTTTTCTAAACTGAGCTGTGCTAGATTTTTTTTCTTCTCTCTTTTCTTATGTAGTGCCATCTGCTTTGAAGAGTAATCCGAGAGAGGTACTGACTTTCACCGTTTGTACGATCCCTCCTTGACATTAAGTACACTGTAAAAATAAACTCTTTGAAGTTCTGAAGCCAATGTACTTATCACCATGCATTCTATAATGCATTAATTGTAATTATTTCAGATTTTTTCAAAATCTAGTTATGTGACAACTCCCAAGATGCCATAATGAGCCTGACTTTCGTTACAACCAAAACAATGAAAAGTTTTTCTCTCAGTGCTTGTTAAATTTTTCCTCCTCCTTCACCCATGAAGTTCACACAGTAAGATGCAAGTGTTGGCTCTTCTAGACTATTTGGATTCATCCTATACCCTTGTGACTCTCGAGTTCTGCCAATGCATCATTTTTCCACTAGATCGTTTATTTATCTACTGAGGAAGAAAGAGATAAAAAGGGGGAAAAAAATTAAAAGTAGATATTCGTACTCTATTCCCCCCTGATACGAGGTATTTCAGTCCCTCAGCAGAACTAGTTCAAGTCATAATAAAGGTTTATTATGTGATTCACTAAAAATAGGAAAGTGACACCGAAATGTCATGGAAAGCTGGGGCTCCCGAGGCACCCCTTCTCATGGTAAACAGGTATAAAACAATCTATTTTTTGAGAGTAAAAGTACGTTCTCATCTATCACTTGAGATCACTCTATACAAGAAAGCTGCTCACTCTCTCTCTTCCTCTATCCAGCCAGTTATCCAAAATGCCTCTCTAGACAACCTATTGACTGAATAGATGACCTGCAATATGCGTCCACCTTCTGGTGCCTGCTTCCAACGTGCTGGATGGATGACGTTTAACAACTCTGTGAATTGTACTAGCCACCAGCAAGGGCTTTACTTGGTGTGGAATTCTCGGAGGCAGAGGTAACACGACCATTCGCCCTCTGGAGGTTCTGACAGGGGTGGGGTGAGGCAGTAGAGGTGATAACCGCGGTCACAGTCGTCACAGAACAAGAGTTGATCCTGTGGGGAGGGAAGAGGGAGGATGTCAGGTCAATAGGCTTATATACATGCATATAAACACGAACACACATACACATTTAAAAATACACACACACACATGAATAACTAGGCTATAACATATGATAAAAAAAAAAAAATTATAAACAACACAGAAATATAACAATGAAAAATAAAAGGAGAAAAAAATGTGTATATAATTATTTACAGAAATAACGGACAAGAATACTTACATCGTTCTCAGAAGTGCCACAAAGAGTGCACGTCTTACATTCAATACACTGCCACCTGTACTTCACAACGCTCTTCATCATGTTAGACGTAAACTGAAGACAAGTTGGGTGACCTGTTGAGAGTGAAACCATCAAGTATATGAAA